ACAATCAATATAAAATAATCTTATCTAATATAACATGATTTAAACCATTTTTTAAGTTACAGTTACATAATTACTTAAGCTCATTTTAATATTCGACTTTATTTTGTATTACTGTAATCGATTACCTGAAGATAATATTGAAATTATCAGCAGAGCGAACTCTGATTTGTTTTTGGTAAAACTAATTCATCTAATTGTGTTTTTCGATGTGATAATAATGAAATCGTTTTGTATATTTCTTTTAAGAATAAATTTAGTCTTAAACGGAAGCAAGACAATAAAAAGTTAGTTGCAAATGCTTTTTTTTTCTTAAAAATAAGAGACCAACGAAAGCAAATCAGTTGGTTGAAAAACCAAGTTAGAGAGCGGCGAATATTACAAGAAAATCAGTTATGCAATGTGTACGATAGCTGTATACAATCTTGCATGAATAATATAAGATCTTACAAGATCACAATAAGGTCATATACGAATCGTACAGTACGATGTAATCAGAAACGGTGGCTTTAAGATTATCATATAGAATCGTACAAGATCTTGTATGATTTTCATACGATCTTATACAATCATACAAGATCTTACATTAAGATCGTATATAATTTTGTAAGAATCGTATAAGATCTTATTGTCAGATTATTTGACCTGGGGTGGTGACATCTGGTTCAAATCCTCACATCCGGAAAAAAAGCTGTTAGCGCAATCCCTTGCGGGATTAAAAATATGAAACACGATGTACCCAGTTTAAATGATGAAGCAAAACTTTTCTTTTATGGAAGTAATTGATGTGATATTCAATTATTTTAGGATTTTAGATATTTTTTTATGAGACTCTGCATAATAAAGTAACAACAGTCTACAGAATTAGTCTATACCCACGGAAAAAAATTCTAACCAATACCGCTGTCAACCGCGATTTTTTGTAAAGACCGCCGGTTTTTCCTTATAAACCGCGATTTGATAAAAAAGACCGCAATTAACCGCGGTTAGTTACACCGCGGTCACAACTTACCGCGGTATGCTCAAACAAGGTCGCGGTTGCTTCTACCGCTGAAAACCGTGGTTCCAGAAGACCTCGGTATGTTCAAAACGAATTGCGGTATCTCAAATCGCCAGTTTTCACGGTTTTATATTTTGCAAAAACCTTCTTATAAACCGCGATTTCTGAATACCTTTGAAAGACACGATTAGTCAAACCACAATAATCGCAGTCCGAACCTCGGTTTTTCAACGCCACCTGTTTTCATAATCTGCTACCGCGGTTTTGATAGATGGAGTCGCGGTTCGATAAAATATTGCTTTTTTATTAGAGAGAAACTTTCTGATTAATATTACAGTTCGACTCTATAAAGCACTGTTGTTACGACAAAAAGTTTTAAAACGCAATTACAATTACCTGATGGGACGAATCGTGATATTCGGATTAGGGTTTTCATTTCTGTTAATTTAAAATAAATTTAAATTAACAGTAATTCATTTTTTAATTTTAAACTATGAAGAAAAAAAAAATTAAAATTTATTTCAAATTTTAAATTACTGTTAATTTAATTTACTTATAAATAAAAGCTGGCATACCTACAACGAATAGTTCGCGAAAAGTTTTTCAAAGTCTCAAATGAGAAAAGAATTTAAAGCATCTCGCTAACCAGAAACTCACTTTTGGCTCTTCTTTAACAAACTCATTTTGATACCAAGTACGATCCTTTGGTAGATTAGCTCCTGTCTGTTGAAGAAAAATTCTAATACATAGTTTTAGATAAATGTAATGTTGAAATAGAATAGTTTAATTTCTAATTTTAGAAATTACGAAATTAAATTAATTTAACTTAAAAAAAAGTAAATTTATTATAATAAACATTTATTTTAAATTTAAATTACTCAACTTAGTTTAATGTATGAGGAAATATAAATAGACACAATTCGTTGCAATTAATGAAAATAATTATTTAAAAATATAACAATAGCACAGGAAAATTTAAAGATTTTAAAGAAATCCTCTACTTTGTTAATTACACACTATTATCTTAGACTTTTTAATTTAAATCAGAAAGAGTATTGTATCTGATGCTTCTATGAACATCGCCATATGGTTCAATGGAATTATGGAACTGTGATTATAAGGTAAGGAGTTCGAATCTCACTTGAAGCAAAAAAATTTATATGATCGGTGGTATTATACAGGTTGACCGCGGTATTAGATCACTGTAATAAGACCGAAGCTGCACCGCGATCCCAGCTAGTTAACAACTAGGATAGATGTCATTTTTTTTCAAAAACCGTTCAAAACCGCGATTTCAGACGGTGTGTATAAACCTAATAAACGGTCTGACTCCCGCGGTTCGTTTTAACCGGTCAGAAACGCGACTCTTTAAGCCGCGATTAGTAGCGGTATTTGTTGAAAAATTTTTCCGTGGGTAGACAATGTATAGAAGTAATACAAACATTTTAATTAATTTTTAATTTTGCGAACAGTTTAGATGAATTTTTTTGTAAGAAAAAAAACCAGAGGAAGAATGTTAATTTTTATTTGGTGAGCTTTAATGTTTTTTTTTATGAGGATACTACAGTTAATTTTATTGAACAGTTATTTGTAACGGTTCGATGATAAGGGAACAGAAATCATCGTGTATCTAAATCCGATACGAATGAGTATAGTGATACTATGGATTTAAAGTTTATATAAAGTAGCATGAAAGGTATGAAATTGTTGACTTATTTATGATGTTATATGATGTTTTGAGATAATCATGTAGCTAAATATTTATCTATGAAAGAATACGTAAGAATGTGTATGAATGATCACATGCAGCGAAAGTGTGGAATGAATACTTGAAGCAGTATCAACATCTAGATAGGAAAAATGGTAGAACTTGAAGATACAAAAGGCTATGAATTATTTGTTAAAGTGTTAGGAATTTAGAAATGCTAAGTTTTATTCATGTTTAATAAAATTTATTTAGTTATTCTAGATATTTTTTAATGCAATAGTATTTATATGCATAGTTTTTGGATTAAAATTAATAAAAACGTTCATCGAAGATAAGGCAAGTAATACATCTTCATTTTCCAGCAAATCGTTTTGACAAAGTTGTTCATGATTAGATTCTTGTAATAAAACTTGAATTTTTGATCTTTCAATAATGAATTCAAACATATTATGATTAATATCGGTTACATTTTGTTTTATTTGGTTTTGTTGAATTGACTCTTGTGAATACAATGATCTTGATTTACATGTTACACACTTAATAGTCTTGCCATTATACTCAACATCAGTTGAATAACATTTTGGACAAAGACAAGGCTGCTCTATTAATCCAATTGATGTTATTGTACCGATTATTGATAATTCTTGTATGATGTTAAGAAAATCACAAGACACAACATCAGCGATGTTTTCGATAGACTGAAATCTCGAAATATTTTTACGAATTTTGTTAGAAGTGTATGTTAAGAGTTATTTTGTCGATTTAAAAGCTGTTTATAAATAAAGAAAAATGAAGGCTAATAATAGAGAAGCTCACGTTGTATGTGTTGTCGTTGTTAGAGATATTTCATCATTAAATATTTTCACTTTTGCTAATTTAATCAAGTAACATTGATCTTTTTCTATATTTGTAAAATTATTCTCCCAAAGATTTAATTTGATACAATCAGTTTTATCAGCCACTAGAACAGCTTTTTTAAACTATTGAATCCTTTTATGTGCATTATTAAACAATACAAGTTCCTCCTCAAAAAGAAAATATTTGGTAAGAAAGTGTTTTTTTTTTGAAGACTTACTGAGCCAACGTCTGTAATTTTACATGAAAATGTTACATATTCTCCATCTGACATAGATTGAATGTTTTTTATTGTTGTATGTTGAATACATAAAGGTTTGAATGATAGATTTATTGATGTAGCTATCGTTCCAGATGTAACAACATACGCATTTTCACCATTGTTTTTCAACTTGTTTAACTTGACACCAGATAGATTGTTAAAATGTTCAATCAGTTTTGTGCGAAGCATGCATGTTCCTGTTAATGATAAATATTTTGTTATTCGATGGATTTTCTGATCTTTGTCGCACAACAAAGCGGTCCAAAATTTGTCTTTGCTGTCAAGTTGTAAATTGGAAATATCACTGACCAGAACAATGATACCTTCCAGTACTGAACTAGCTTGTATGTTCGGAATATTGTCGCTTTTAACAATATTAATTGTTCGTTTCATTGTGCAGTATTTTTATAACGTAAAAAATTCAAAAGAAGAAAAGTCAAATGAAGTTAAAAAAAATGATATATAAAGAATAGCGCAATATTTCTTTTAATAGTAGATGCTGTTAATGAAATCACTTTTTCATTTTTTTTATACTAATATTACAAATATCAACGATGTGGGTGTGTGGGTGTGGGTGTGGGGTATTGGTGGGGTGTGTGAGTGGGTGTGAATGTGGGTGTAGTTGTTATCCAGGAAAAGACAACACCCACACCCACACCCTAAAATAACTCCTGGTGTATCATAAAGCCATTTTGCATTTTTATATCAATCAGGATTAAAAGATTGCATTTTCTTTTGTCGATAATTTATATAATTATATTCACGCGATTCAAATCAACGATCTGCATAAAAAGAATTTTCATCAGATGAATATGTGTATTGAACAGCATTCTTTGGTAAATTTATTTCAGATTCAAATCAACGACGCCATTTTACTATTATACAACATTTTTTTAAATTTTATCTTTAAGATTTTGTTCATAGAAAGAAAAAAACCATACGAACAGTAGTTGTTTCATTTTCAATTGAATTACTGTTTTCATCAAAAATTGATTCATTGTCCTCTCATCATTTGAAACGTTCTGCACACATAAATCGATTTTTTCCGGTTCTTAATTGAGTTGGAAAACGAAGAACATTCATTGTTGTACCTAAATAATACAACAAAAAATACTTAGGGGGTACTCAAAAGTAGTGGTAGTCACATATTAGTACCGTATAGTAAGCTTGAAAAGCTTTCTTTTTATATAGTCAGATAGAGAAAAGAATGCTCTATTTTACTATGCTATTTGATGATGTTTCAACTAATATCATAATAATAAAATTTCAATAAGATCTGTTTCGTTATCATATGTGCTGGTTGTATAAATATTCATTTTAAAAAAACACGAGTGAGTATTTTTGAATCATTTTTAATAGAAACAAGATAAAGGATTGTGGTTTTCACCATTGGAAAGAGGAAATAAGGACGCATCAAATCGTAAATTCCAGCTTTTCCTCATTTGTTTTTTGTAAGGTTTTCAATTGATCTTTTTAAGAACAAACTTATCTGGTAAGTTGTTTACAGTAAATTTTCAATTATCAAGTATAAATTAAAACCACTAATCGAAGATCTACAAAGTGCGGAAGACTGAGCTGAATAATATCCACTCTATTCGAGCCTCTAATACGATTTTCTGGCAAAATCTTTGAAAAAAGCTCACTTTTATACTCTTCCTTTCTTCATGAAGAAAAGAAAACATTTTTCCGACTGTTAGAAAATTGAATAAAAATACTTCAGAAATCAATATTAGACAAATCTATAATTAGGAATGGGCGATTCCGCATCGGAATCGGTACTGAAATCTGGAATCGGCAAGTGTGATCCCGATGCCGATACTTAGAAAAGTTGAACTCCCCGATTCTGATACGATGCTTAAAAAGTCAGATTTGATTCCGGTCCGGCTCCGATTTCACGTTACAAAAATTTTGGTATCGTTGCCGTTTTTGGTGATATTGTTTTTAACATAAGATCTTAAATTAATTGTTCAATTATTTATTTAGTCCTTCGCTATCGTTCTCATTTTGTAACTTCAACAGTGTTCTGAGATCCGCGTGGATCTATTCCCATAAAACTACAAAAAATGATGGTTTTGCTTTATGTAAAGTATTCTATTATATACTATAGGTCTCCAAATATTCTTCTTTATATAGACTTATCTATTAGTCCTCATTGAGGCAATATAAGAATGTATGATGTGAAGAAACGGATTAATACAGAAATTTGGTTTTGAGCAAGAAATAGTAAAACTTTGTCTCTCTACAACGAAAATATGAGTCAATAGTACGAGAGATGAACACGCACACGAATCGTAACTTATTTATTTCAAAAAAGAAAACGATACACAGAGGATGGCAGTCATAACAAAGCGAAAAATCATATCTATAACACCATTAGTGTCCTGGGGCCCACGTGGATCCATATCGGTATTTTTTTCCTGTTAGACCTATATGTGGTTTTTTATGAGGATGTTATACACCATCCAAAGACTAGAGATTACAAAAAGCAAATGATCCGAAATAATAAATGATTGTATAGGACGCGACAAAAAACTGCAAAGTGGATCCGCATGGATCCCACGACAGTAACCGAAGGTTAAAAAAACAAGAAAAAAAACCTATTAATTGGTAATAATGGTAAAAATGTTTATCATGGAAACAAAAAAAAAGGAGTACAACTCATATCATATAAACTATAAAATTTTATTATAGACGACTCCAACACCGATCCTTAAAATTAATCTTCACGATTCCGATACGATCCTAAAAAATTTATAGCCAGTCCCGATCCGGTTCCAAACGTAAAAAAATTAAACTTTCCGATTCCGATACGATCCTAAAAATAAATAAAGCTTGTGACGATCCAGTTCCGAGTCCACAAAAAACTGATTTCGCCCATCCCCATCTATAATACATCATTCGATGTATATTCATCTCCTTTTTGCAACGATCAAAACTGCACTTCTCTCTATCTTATTCCTATCAACAGTTATTCAAAAAATACTCACTAACATTCATAGAACCGTGACACATGAGAACAAAAGAGACATTATCGAAATTTTATTATTTTGATATTAATTGAAATATCATCAAATAGCATAGTAACATAAAGCATTCTTTCCTCTATCATTCTATATAAAAAGAAAGCTCTTAAAGCTTACTACACGGTACTAAAATGTCACTATTGCTAGTTTTGGATACTCCTAAGTAAATAAAAAATTTCTTAATAAATATCTTTACCAGGAAGATTTGATTCAGTTGCACGTTGAATACAACCAAGTCCATGAATATGACGAAGATCAGAATCAATAAGACTATTAAATAAACTAGCTTTTTCAGTATTTGTACTACCAAGTAGATAAACACCACCTATGTAGATTTTTATGACAAAAGAAAAAAGAAATGAATAAAAAAACAGTAAAGAGAAACCATGTTGTGACCAGTAACGAAATACTTTGGAAATAAGTTCTTCCAGCCCATATTCAGTTCGAGCACTGATTAAACCATAATATTTTAACGCTGTGTTTGCCTAA